ATATTTTTACTGTCTAGGTGTTTCTATATAATGTAGTGGTAAATTTGTGGCCGTTTTTCATAATCATGTTATCCATAAACATAAGACAGTTACTTTCTTATATTTTCATGGTGAATCGTATATTATTATTAATGGAGTTCAAATGCGAGAGGAAAGTTTGTGTTAGTAATTCACCATGCAGCCAGATAACAAACGTGTCTTCAACATATCTTTTATAAAAGGATGGTGGTTAGATCTTGGTGAAAGTGCTAGATTCTCAAAGTTTTCCATGCTAAGATGGGAGAGATTGTTAAGCTCATTGCTAAACCTCCTAGTTATTAAAAAAACTACCTTGATGTTTGTAGAAGATGGTCCGCATATACAGATTGACAAGTTCCATAATTGGGTCTACACTGAGATTGGTGGGGTCGGTAAGAGAGGTTTCGTAAGTTAATCCTAGTTAGTCGGGAAGTTTCTTTGACTAGAAACATTCTCGTGGGAAAGGGAGTTGGTTGCACTAACTAGTGAATGAAGAGAAACGTCATGCTTTTAGATTTTAGTCGGCTGTAGAATTGTGGGGAAATGAGTAGGCTCTTTGGTGCCCGATTCAAAGAACACCAGACTCACTAAAACACAAAATTCAGCTATTGTAGAATACGCAGTAGAAAAGGAACAAAGAATCAACTGGAAGTAGTGCAAGGTTCTTAACACGGTAAAAAACAAACAGAAAATCAGATGTGCCACTGATCCACGAGAAAGGAGGGGGGGGAGAACAAAATAATAAAATAACCTTTTTTGGAATAGTATTTCGATTTAGCTTTCTATTTTTAGCACGCGGCGCACGTCGTCACTTTAGTATATTTCTGACTGCGAGGTGGGATAGTTACAGCGCGAATGACTAAACCACCAGAAACGCACAAGTTCACCCTTGGGTGTAGTTATTCATATTATCATTTGTCTCAGTGGGCCGAGGTCCGCCTCCATCTAAGAACAACGTGAAAAGTTTGAAATTCGGTAAGAGTGTCCTGAGGATGCTATCAGGATATTAGGCTCAGTAAAATTAACTGTTAAAGTATTTAATTTCAATTTTTTATTCGGCCCCTTAAGGTCTTCAGAACGGTGTATAATAGTGTTTTAACCACGCCATGTTCGCCGTATTATTACCAACAACGCGTTTCGCTCGAAATCAGTTCTCACCATAACAGGCCATCTGAGATACAACAGACATAGTAGTGGTTGGAAAACTATTCACTATCAGATGTGTACATTGTACTATTCTCTTAAAACTGTAACTCGAATATTTTACACAGTCCTTGAACTTGATAGTTTTTTGTTGTTAGTATTTCAACAATATCCATCACTTACTGAAAAACATGACTCATTTTTCAATTTCTTTTTAGGTTTCTCATATCCAGAGCCTATTCTAAGCTTTTATTGTAAGAAACACGGCTGGTTATTGATTAAACCGTTTCCACCCCATCATACCCTTCAAGCTCCTACTTGATATTAATTTCGTAAAATATTTGGACATATCGCGTTGCTTAGTACTCATATTCACTCGGATTTTTTAAATTAACCCCACTTCACACATCGGCCAAACTTACCAAACATGTGGGCACTGTTTATTCACTCTCATTAATTTGCAGAGCATGTAGTTACTGTGGTACTCAAAATGTCAATTGATAAGCTAGAAAATAAAGTAAAACTTCAGCTTGCCAAGACTAGATGACAGATGAGATAAAACAACCAGAAACAGATTTTTTGTTTGTTTGTTGTTAACTGCAAAGATACAACATGAGCTATCTGTTCTGAGTCCATAGCGGGTATCGAAACGAGAGTTTCAGTGTTATAAGCCCTCAAACTTTCCGCTGAGCCACCGCGGCTGGCGGAGGGCAGCAGAAACAGCATCGGCGGGAAATAGTTTTCATTCAACTACAAGAACATTGTCAAGTGGAAACCAATAAGATATCAGTTTTTATATTGTTACGACAGCGGAAGTCATGCGACGCTGGGAGCATGCGCGCTGGAGTTTCTAGAAGGATCATGAATTATCGAGGAACCCCGAGTGTTTGCCAGGCGCCCTCTTTTTTAGTATATAAGTCCTGCAAATAAAGCCAGCGAGAAATAGATATGCAGACTGATTAAAGATAGAGACAATTGAGTCAAACGAACAGTAGGCACCGTAA